CACCCAGCCTTGCCTTCTACACATTGAGTGGTGATCGTGTGACAAACCCCAATCACATAGAATACAGACAGGAGAAAGGCTCCAAGAAGGTGCCAGGGCAAATCACCCGCCACTGGAGACCTCAACTCCACGACATGCTCCTCAAGCAGCTTCATGCCATTGGTGTCGACGTCGAGTATGGATGCAAGGCGGTAGAATATTTCGAGAGAAGCAATACGGGGCGCGGGGGTATAGTCCTGGAGAATGGCGATCGAGTGGAAGCAGACGTCGTGATTGCTGCTGATGGGTTGAGAAGCCATTCGACCAAAGTGACGCTGGGCCAGGAGATTCGTGCACGTCCAACCGGACAAGCCATGTATCGGACTGCCTTTCCCATGGAGATAGCCATGGCTGATCCGATGGTTCGAGAGCGGTTTCCGGTGGTAGGAGAGAAAGAAGGACCGATAGAATTCTGGGCTGGGTATGATCATACGTCTACAAATACCTGCTTCTATGGAAAGTAACCTGTGCTAATTGGTCCGAAGCGAGCACTATCATTTCCTCGTCATCAGGACACCCGACATCATGTCCTGGACTTTATCCCACAAGGTGAGTAAAACAGCCATTCCGTCCTAACGACGATAGCAAAACACTCCTAGTATATACCTGCTTCCGTTCTTCAGATCTAACACTGCAATAAACCTAGGACTACGAAAGCGCCACAGAATCCTGGTCCCACAAATCCGACCTGGAAGACGTCCTCAAAATAACCGCAACCATCCCAGACTGGCCAGAAGTAGCAGATCGACTAATCCGCCTCACCCCGCAAGACCGACTCCTTCACTTCCGCGTGATGTGGCGGGATCCTCAACCCACCTGGGTCTCACCAGCAGGCCGTATCGTGCAGATTGGCGATGCAGCACATACCTACATTCCGGCCTCAGGAAATGGTGCGACGCAGGCAATCGAAGATGCTGTCTCTCTAGCTACGTGCTTGCGGATGGCGGGGAAGACAGAGCAGGTGCGCTGGGCGTTGAGGATCCATAATAGGCTACGGTATGTTTCTTACTCGGCCTTCTGATACAACAAGGTGTTATTGACTGAGCTCGTGGCTAATAATCCATGGATGGGTATACAGCTTCGTCCGAGTATCCTGTCTCCAAAAGTTAGGCCTCGTCAATCTGAAAAGCTACTCCGAAACCCCGAAGAAAGATAAATTCACGCCCAAGGGGCTCCATTATCTGACAGCGGAGTGGATCTGGGGCCACGAGCCGGAACAATACGCCGAGGAGAACTACAGCAAGGTCCTGGATCATTTGCAGCGGGGCACACCGTTCCAGGATACGAATATTCCCCGCGGTCATGTCTATCGGGACTGGACTATTGATGGGTTGTTGGAGATGCAGGAGAGGGGTGAGGAGATTGAATTGGATGGGGAGTGGGAGTGATCTTTTAGGTTTTCTTTCTATGATTATGTATGTATTTATGATTGAACTCTACTTAGTATCTGTTATGTTGAGCATATTCTACCGGCTTATATCGATGAATACCATGATGATGAAAATGAGTATGATGCAAACGAGAAGAATGAAATGCAATTGGGAATCATATACAGAACTCTCAATCAACACACAACGTATATACAGAATAAAGAAAACCATCACTTTCTAGCAAACAAACACCGTTGTTTGTTTACCACCGGCGGTACTTCCCACATCGTTAGTACAAAAACAGAGACAACTTCAAGATAGAGATTTCTTATTTAACATACCTCATGGGGTCCGGGAGGCGGAGGACCGGGAGGACCGGGAGGGCCAGGCGGAGGAGGAGGGCCAGGAGGCCCGCCAGGAGGCCCGCCAGGACGGTCCCAAGGATCTCTTGGTCCCGGAGGAGGAGGACCGGGAGGACCGCCGGGGCGATCCCAGGGGTCTCTGGGACCTGGAGGAGGAGGGCCAGGAGGGCCAGGAGGACCAGGAGGACGAGCCCAAGGGTCTCTAGGATCAGGAGGGGGAGGGCCATGAGGACCAGGCGGCGGCGGAGGGCCACCTGGACGGTCCCAGGGCCCAGGGCCTTGGGGCGGCGGAGGGCCCTGAGGTCCGGGAGGAGGGGGGTTATTGTGGTGATGGTGTGAGAAGAAACCCATTGTGGATAGGTCGTGAGGATGGATGTTGTTGTTTCCTAAGGATAGAGAAGGTCAAGGTGAAGTAGAGGCCTTAAATAACCACGTTGCTTACTTAGAATCAAGCGGCGGGGTGGGGACATAGACAACTGGGCCACAGTAGGCAACGCCTTTCTTCAAGCAGAAGTGGGACGCATGTTTCTCCGTAGTAATTATAACGATAGCGTCGAAGACATCGTTGTGTATGGGGCTTTTGTGGCTTGGTTGCTACTAATTGTTATGATTTATGAGACGGCGGTTCTATGTTCAACCCCCTACTCCACGCTTGACATTGCGCCCCCATGATTCTTAGGGGGGGAATGTAAACAGTGTTGCCTATCAGGGGCTGTCAACGTCTTTTCCATGGATAGAACGGGAATATTATTGAGACGGGGCGTCTAATACCAAGTTTAGGGTTCGTAGTCTCCATAGTTTGGTACAGCCCGGCTTCACATATTGTATGGTGATGGTGGATAGAACCTGCTCATTAACTGTTATATTGATCACTGATTTGAGGGAGTTATCATGGAGGAAAGCAACACACAATGTCTAAAATTACTGACAATTAGTTAAGTCTAATATCATACCGACTTCCGAAGCAGAAGGTGGCCACACGTCGGATCCCCACGAGAGCGTTTAGGGCACAACTAGCGCCTCGGAGTGGATCGAGGCATACGTATGGCCTCCCCACTCTCGCCTCAGCCTTGGGCAGGTTGATGTATATGATCAATTCATTCTACAGTTGTTCGAGAAAACATCCACAGGCTAAGCCACATCATCGTTTGGGAGTCAACACGCTGACGTGTTGCTTATCTGGTTCGCGTTCATGCAGATGTCAATTCATCAAGACAGTACATCGCTAGGCTACGCAAATCAATACTACCGAGTAACAAAAGAGCTAGAGCTACCGGTTATAGTTTTATCCGTTTGGTTTTTTCATCTCAAGGCCAATACGAGGCATTGTGTTCATGATTTAATCTTGCGAAGTTTGTCAAAGGTCACAGTATTCGTAAAGGGGTAGCAACCCATATGAATGGCCCGTGCGATTAAAGCCCGGAGTACCAAGCTTACAATAAAATGGGTCTCAGCACAAAGCATGTTGTCTACAAGAGAATTGACATGAAAGAGTCCTCTGGTGATCCAGACGCTCTCAGAGCGTCCGGCTGACATTTGCCATATCCGAAACTGTTGATATATATGTACATACAACTCATTCTTCGTCTTCCTCGTCACTCACTTCCTCACCGGCTTCAATAGCCTCCTGCCTCCTCTTCGCCGCAAGCTCCCTCTTCCTGTCTAGAAGCTTTTTCAATCTCTTGGCCGAACTGAATAAGCCATTCGTGGCGGATCCACAGGCGGCACAACTGGGATCCTTCTTGTATCTTTGCAGAGCACACGACTCGCAGAAGTAGTGACCGCACTTCGTGACGATAGGCTCCCTGTATGGCCCCTTGCAGATGAAACAGGCAAACGGAATGTCTTCCAGCATAGCCTCTTCATCGTCGTCCTTGATCTCCGTCTTTGTCCGATCGGCACTCGCGACCACCGTTCCCTTCAGTTGTTTGCCCTTGGTGACGGTCTCCCATTCTCGATCAAGTTCCCATCCTTGTTTGTAGTCGCTTCGATCGTGAAGGAATTTACTTCACAGAAATGGTTAGCGTAGGTTTCAAGAAGATAGGCTGCCCCAGATCAGGTGGCAAATGTGTCCATCGAGGGGAAGACGCGAAGACACTTACCAATTATCACCGAAACCACAGAACCCAGTCTGCTTGTAATCCTTGCACACATCCGGAGAGTAATCCGTCACAGTGATGGTACGGATGTTAGTCGCCGCCTTGATCGGTCCGAACGACCTATTTGGCGCATTTGGGTTCTTCTTGATGAAAGATGTCTGACTCGCCAGTCCCTTATATGTGCCATCTGGCATCTGCGGCTCACTCGAGGGAGCTTGAGCTTTCGATGAACGCGCATCCTTAGTATCCTCGTCGAACCAGTCGACATGTTTTGTGGCGTCGTTCGTATCCGCGAGCTGGACTTTGCCGTCACCGGTGGCGGTCGTCGCAGGTTCCCGATCGACAGGTTTGGTAGTTGCAGATGAAGCAGAGACAACCCCAGCACCCTTGTTCTTTCTGCGCTTTATTCTGTGACCCGATTCGTCTTCGGAGGAGGAAAAGTCGGAAGAATCGTCGCCTTGCGATACGGGGGGCGCCGCTGGTCTTTTGCGGATGTTCTGACTGGCCTTTGCGCCGCGCTTTTTGAATGTAACAACCGGTGGTTGAGGAGCCTCAGCTGCAGCTGCAGCTGCATCGTTTGTTGTCTCAGCCATTGGAAAGTGTGCGCGGTGATCTGTGAGTTGATGCGAAATGAGAAATGACCAAGCGCATTGAGACGCGATAAACGTGATACGCCCGGATCATGTGATGATAAGATAGAGTTCTTATTCACGTCCACGTGACTATAAAGATGCTGATGTCATCATAGAAGACACGCGAAACTTCCTGAGCAACTGCTCATTATCAATGGGGTAAGATAGATTTGCTACACCGAGGACTGAATCCGCTGGTAACGTGTTTGCCTGATCGATGTGTTCAGCAGAGCATATGGGTGGCGTCATGGCGCAGGTGCGTCAGCCTTGTGCTGCGCCACGGCAGATGCCACCGAACTGATGGTGAAGCGCGGATCATGTGTTCCCAGCATAAATTTGACGATTGCCGAGCAATCATAATTGCAGACAAGATCGGGTTTCTCGAGACAATGCCTATGACAGATGAATGATTGGTTGCGATCATTATGTTCTCACCAGCAGCTACGTAGAGTGACAAAAAGCATAAGACCTAAAAGGCAGAAAGTACAAAAAAAGGTTTGCTCAACCTCGGGATCGAACCGAGGATCTTCTGTGTGTAAAACAGACGCCTTACCACTGGGCCAGTCGAGCACCACCGTGGTAAGTGGGTCTCTTACTGCCATATGCCAGACTGCAGAAGCATTCCTTTTTGGGGGAAGGATAGTATCAAACCGGGGTGGTCCCTGCCTGCTTTGACATACTTTGTGGATCCTGCTAAACTCTTACCGATCCCACGGCACTCGAACTGGGGATCTTCAGAGAGGCGGTGCTCATCATGACTTCGCTCCGCCTCTGTTCGCGGATTAAATACCCTTGCCCTTCTCCTCTCCCTGGAGCTTCTCACTCTTTTTAATAGTTAGATTCTCGTTTTGTTCTAAACCATCATGTATCCCCATCAAAACCGTATGTGATGCCCCACAGTGCCCCCGCGTCCCTGCGTCATGCTGATCGCTTCTTCACAGGCCCTCCATATCCTCCTTTCACTGGCCCCCCACAGGCCCACGGTCAACAACAGAACCCATCTCCATTCCCTCCACAGAATCAGCAACATATGGCCTCTCCTCCTTACCCGAATCAGCCTGGCTACCCTCCCTACGGGGCTCCACACCCCAATCAGCCTCCATACCCTAACAATCCGCAAGGCGCCCCTCTAGGTCGACCAGATATGTACCACGGGGGTCCACAAGGGTATTCACAAGGCCTGCCTCCTCCCCAGGGCGCTCCTCATGGACCTCCGCTGGGCATGCATCAAGGGTCCTTTGGTGCGCCACCCCAATTTCCACCTCACGCCTCCGCTCCACCACACCCTCAACTCTATGCCCCGCTTGCTTCTGTGCCATCATTGGGCTACGTTCGAGGCCAACAAGCAAATGGAGACTTCCGACCCCAAGCCGATCAGCTCCGTCGCGCGATGAAAGGCTTTGGGACAGACGAAAAGGCCCTTATACAAGTTCTCGCCAAGCTAGATCCTCTCCAGATGGCCGCCGTACGATCCACCTACACACAGCACATCCGACGAGATCTCTACAAGGACGTTAAAGGAGAGACAAGCGGCTACTTCCGTCGGGGTCTCCTAGCTATCATTGATGGACCGCTGCATTACGATGTAGCCTGCGCCAGGGAGGCTGTCGAAGGCATCGGAACGAAGGAATGGCTTCTCAACGACATCCTTCTATCCCGGTCCAATGCTGATTTGAACGCCATAAAGGCCGCCTACCACCAAACATATAACCGCGCTCTTGAAAAAGACGTCGAAGATGACCTGTCATTCAAAACGCGAAATTTGTTTGCGATAGTTCTCCGCGCCACTCGACACGAGGAGTCAGCCCCATTAAACCCCCAGATCATCGAAGAAGAAGCCAAGTCTCTTCACCAAGCAACGGCTGCGCGGGTCGTCAACAACGTTGATGAAGTATGCGGTATCATAGCCAGGGCCTCAGATAACGAGCTTCGTGCGATCAACCATGCCTTCTATACCCGATACAATATCCAGTTGACCAAGCATATCGAGAAAGAGTTTTCTGGACACATGAAGGATGCACTGCTGCATATGCTTGGTGCTGCATTGGATCCGGCCATGCACGATGCCGAGCAGCTCGAAGACTGCATGAAGGGAATGGGAACCAAGGACGAGAAACTGGTGACGCGAGTGGTCCGCATACACTGGGCACCTGGGCACATGGATCAGGTGAAACGGGCGTATCGCCATCGGTTCCAGAGAGATCTCATCGAGCGGGTCAAGGGGGAGACGAGTGGTGATTACCAGCGATTGATGGTTGCGTTATTGCAGTAGCCGCACTTCTGTCCCTGCTATCGCTCTCTTAATGTTTTACTTGACGAAACAGCCATGACTTACGACTGGGCACGGGTACGGTATGGTATGGTTGGCATGGTGCGGCTGGATTTGTATCTGTAATCTTGTTATGGGCGATGATAGACTGGGTCGGGTGGCTACTTCTTTTTACTCACTTAGTTTATGGATTGCGATAATTATTATTATCATCAGTTAACTCTACTTAGTAGCTTCCAATAATGGGACCATCAAGATTGATTCTAATTTGCGAACCTATCATCAACGCCCAGCTTGTATTTGTAGCGCTTCTCCATAGGATCCTTCATTCGTTCGTCCATTCATTCATTCATTCATCATAAGTAAAGTAACAACATATACTACATACAAAACATAAGTCATGAAACATATCATCATCAGTCAGTCAGTCAGTCAACTGTAAACAAATTGATCATGCAGCAAGAATAGTGAAAGAACTTCAAGGACCACGCGAGAACAAAAACCGAATCGTCACCATCACCACCATCATAATGGAATGAGTTATTTCATTTCACACCACCTCCCCCGCAACAAACACATGCGCGCCCGGAAACAATCCCGTCAACCCAGCATAACACCCCCAGTACCAATCATCATTGATATTCTCCGCCTCGGTGATTTCGGCTCCCCGCGGGAACATCAGCTCGTCTTTGACTCCGTCTTCGGGGTACCATGACCATAGGGCATGGACGACTAATCCGACGCCGCCGTCGGGTGGGTAGCGGCGGGTGCCGGTTGTTGTCATTGTTGATGTTGTTGTTGGTGTTGTAGAATTCGTTGGGGATGAGATTTGTGAGGATATAGCTGGGCTGGAGATAGTAAATGGGGAAGATGTGGTGATGGTGGGTGTGCTTGGTTCAGAGGACCGATCACGGTCACGATCACGATCACGGTCACCGATAGTCCAAGGTCTGATGCGAGAGGCCTTTTTGCGTCGCTCGGAGCCCTCTTTCCAGCTCCAGTCACCGGAGCCGACTTCCGGGGAGGCAATGCTGGGGTTAGCGGTGGAGTTGGAAGAAGAGATAGCGGTGATTGGGGAGGCTGTTGGAGAAGAGGGCTGGATAAGGTGGTCGTCGTTGAGGGCGCGGCCGCCTACGAGGTCGCGGAGGATGACTCGGCGTTGGCCTTCTTCGTGGTCTTCGAAGCCGATCACCGCCATGCGATGGCCTTTCAGGCAGCGGCGCCAGCCGTTGTGGCCGTTTTCTTTTCGGATCTTGCCGATTGCCCCGAGGCGGAGGTAGCAGTTGGTGCAGATGTCGTAGTCGCCGTTGTTGCATTGGAGGCAGTGGAAGCGGGGAGTGGAGTCTGGGATTGGGTGCGTGCAAATGTCGCAGTTAGTTGCGATGGAGAGGATCTTGTAGGTTTCGAGCGATGAGGAGGGGGTATTGTTGTCGGTTGCGGTTGCGCTTGGAGATGAGTTATTGTTGTCGGGCGCTATGCGGCAGATTGGGAGGAGAGCATGGGTGCAGCATCGTCCTTGGTTCACGCAGCGGTTGCAGAACCCCCAGTCACCTTCGTTGCACTGGTCACATTTCCAGTAGCAGTCGTTTGCTGGAGACTGACAGCTATCGCAGAAGAACCCGGTGGTTAGTCTGTGGGCTGGGTCGTCGGTGGTCATGAGTCGTCCGTCTCGATCGGGACGGTATGCTATGTCTGGTGCCCGGCGGTACTTGCATGACAGTAAGATGTGTTGCTGGGAGCTGCGTAGTGGCGGGGGGTGGCCGCTCGAAGAAGCGATAATACGTTCAAAGCCCGCTTCTGCAGATTTTGCGAAGCCTGCCCATTCCAGACACCCTTCGCCGGTGCGATAGCATCTCAAACACAGATGGTATTCGCCATCGTTGCATTTGGGGCATTTCTTGTGTAAATCGTACTGTATCTTCTCTTTGCCACACCGGTCGCATGAAATAGATGGTTCGTTGTACGTGATAGCAGAGCGTGGTGCATTGGATCGAGACGAAGATGGCCGAGATCGCGCCTCTGACCTGCCTGTCCCTCCGACCTCTGCTACCAACGAGCTGGTCGCAGGCACGGTCACCCCAGGGCTCGCTGGCCACGGACCGGTGTGTGTGTTCTGCTCAGGAGCCGCGACCACTCGTGGTGAGTCGATTGATAATCGACCAGGGGCTCGCCGGATGGCACGCTCCCTAGCCCCTTCGACCCAGATGCTCGGTGTGTTCTGCTCAGACGCCGTAGCACGTCGAGACCGCGGCGCAGATGAATCCGTTCTGACTCGAGAAGCCTGAGAATTCCGGGGACGATCAGTAATCACATCACTAGACGAGCGCGCAGCAGGCCTCAGCGTAACTTCCGATGAAGACGCAGGATTTGCCGGCACAGGAGACGTTCGCCGACGACTGCTGCCCTGATCCGACAACCGCCTCTGATGACCCGAAGCCCCATTGCGTGCCACAAGGGGATCCAGTAGATACGGTCTTGACACAGGAGGACTCCGATTGGACTCGGTCGGCGTAGAAGTTTCCTGTGGCCTCTGCACAGACTGCGAGCGAGCCCGAGCCCGAGACGACGTTTGATGCGTCTCCCGAGTTTCCAGTCGTTGCTGCGAGCGAGACCGTAACCTATGTCTCCGACGATAAGCATCAGCGATGCGCTCACTGAGCTCCTCTTCCTGCGCCGGGCCCAGATTATCGAAGTCGATATCATCCAAGAGTCCCTCTTCTAATATCTGCCGTAGAATCTGGTCCTGTATCGTCTCAGTATCCGACAAACTCAACAACGACCGCAAACTAGACTGATGCTCTATGCGTCTATTGCGCTCGGAAACATCCTCCCCCTGCCGTCGGCGCGCAGCACGCTCCTCCTCTCGCCGTCGTTGTCGTGCCCCATCCGCATCAGCACTCAATTCCGTGCGACGAGTCCGCGATGACTGCCTCGATCGATGACCAGTAGTATTTCTCGTCCGGGCCCGACTCTCCTGCAGACTCAATTCCCGTACCTCCTCCAACAACCTCCGATCCTCATCATCCGACACATCATCCCTCCGTTCAGCCGACGGCAAAGCAGGGAACACCGAGTCACCATGTTTATATTTCCGCGCAATCTCCTCCTTCTCCTCCGCCGACTTATCCCGGTCGGGACTCGCCGCCAGAACCATATCCAGTAATGTGGTGACGGTAGCATTAGGGCGGGTTTCGCGGACAACTGCGCGACAGGATGGACATGTGAATCGGACGGATGATGATGATGAGCGGACGCGAGACGCTTGTGCAGAGAACCATTCTTTCAGACAGGAGCCGCAGAA